ATGTTACTCTCATGCCAATGGCACGGGATGCATTGGGGGAACAGGGCAGGCCCAGGGTACAGCACATGTAGCAATTAATCTCTTTGTAAGCAGTTGAGGAGACTGAACCACTATTAAATATATTTAACCAGCATCACAGGAAATGTGAAATACCTCTCTGGTGATACAGGATAGTGGGAACGCTGGATTATCACTTTTTTTATACGGGCAGAGTCAGATAAAGGGATTTTCAGATTTCAGAGAGCAGGTGTTAAGCTTGAAGGACAAGTAAGTAAATAAACTAAATGCTCCAATTTCAAGCGAGGAGCTTGACCTACCAAACTTGAGGGTTCATTTCTGTGGCTTTGGTTCAAGTCCAGCTTTAGTTCCTTGCCAATTTTTGACTATGTTGGCTCTCGATGTACTGCTTGTTTGACCTTGCAGTGATGATACAGCACTGAATTTTGACCTTCACCTTGCCAGGCAAAAGTTGGTCATAAGAGGATGCCCACAACTGACATCAGAGCTAAAAGCCTCCAGCAGTAGGTGTCCTTTATTTTCTCCTTTCTGTCTGTACATATACATACACACACACATTTTGCATTTCTGTTAAATTCCTGCTTCGATGGGTGTCTGAGATACATGCTTCAGCATTTAAAAATCTGCAGTGCAACTCGTTTTACGAACTCAAGGTTTCACACACAAGCTAGGAACGGATTGCGGTGGTGACCCCGAAGTCAATACCACATTGGAGTCCTTGTGGGAGAAGGGCCAAAGGTTCAGTTTCCATTCACAAACCACTCACACCTTTGCACTACCTGATATTAAGCAACCCAGCCTGCAAACAATTAGCTACTTCATGGCCAGAAAACAGCCAGAGTAATACCTGAAATGACTTCTGAACACTCAGTAGGATAGTTTACAAAGTGCCCTGGACACAAAATTTAAAATAAAATAACAAAAAGAACCAGCCTCAATAGTATCATCTTGCTTAAAATTAACCTCAGAGTTGTGGTAACTACTTGGCTAGAGTATACAATGGTCTAAGGACCCTCCCC